TGTGCGCCGGACTCAAACCCGTGACCTTTCGCTTACCTTGTGTACTTTGTGCTAAAAGAAAGGCAAATACCCTCTTTCTAGTGCACTTAATTCTTATTTTTCTTGCTACAAAGATTTGATGTTGGAGAGAGAAGAAGGGATGTGATTAGTGCGCCAAAAGGAATTTGTTTGCAACATAATCGTGCAGCCCAAAGTACATCAAATAGTCAAGAACTTGTAAATGATCTTTAGTTTTGTTTCAGTGTCGATTTCGGGAATATTCGTTTCGTGATTGATCCCGTTGGAGTACCAGTTCCTTTCCATATGCCTCAACTCTCTGATCACGGTTTCCCAGCAGATCCACCGCCCATTAACTGTTAATCCTAAGAATTTCCAAGGTTTTTTTATCATTTCAGCTGTTTCACAAACCTTTTAAAAAGTTAAACAAAAACTTTTAAGCATAGTGCACCGAATGCTCCAGTTTGACCTATTAACTTTAAAATTTCAATTTACGTTAACGTACACTTTATTCTTTATAATATTGAAGAATTAGTTTATTCTAATTCTATTCTGATGTCTATTGTTAGATGATTGTGTAAATAAATATGATTCTTAAACTTTTACTAATTGAAATTTTAATTGTATAACAAAATATCTTTATAAAACTTTATTGAAAATGCAATAATCGTACATACAAAGAGTTTCATAGAAAATCCAGGTTTGAAAAAATGACTTAAACTGAATAAAACACTTGACAACTTTTTCCGAACATCGACTAGGTTAAGGGCCTTTAAATCGTGACTCTACCGTAGCCCGTAACTAGTTAGTAAATGTTAGAGTCCCTTTTTTTTCCGTATGTTTTTCCCTTTTTTCTCATTCGATCAGCATTTTGTGAAAAGATTCCTATCAGTGGGATAAAATAAAGTTTGTTAAAATTTTTACCTATTTCTGCCATTTTGTTTTATGGAAGCACTTCACATAAAGTAGATGTAACAGAAGTAAACGTTATCGATGCCAGAATTCTAAAACACGATATACAACATGATATTACCGCAAATGAAATTGTCTCCAAAATGTCCAGTGACTACAATGTCCAAAATGTATTCTTAACTAAATGTTAAGCGGGTTCATAAAATGGCGCCCAAAGCTCTATTTTCTCACTTGCTCATGTTTTCTCGTCCAAGAATTTTGAAATTTGCTCGTGGCGTCAGCTTCCTTTATTTTATACAGTCCCGTAACTGAATTCTATTATTCTCGGACTCGACCTGGTTTTAATTGTTATTCACGTGTTCTCCATCAACTTTTTTTTGTGCTTACTATTCTTAATAACTAGTTTCGATCCAGTTATCCATAATGAAGTGCTGATGACCGTCATTCTTCAATGTTGAATGTTCGTCCATTCGATTCCAGCGACTGGGAGGTGAGAGTCTTTCTCTTGTACTAACTTGTTCTATTTAGGTTGAATACTTCGTCGCATCTGATGCTGCGGCCATAATTGAATACACCAAACAAGTGCTTTACTTGGAAGATGACGACGTTGTTTTTGTTGAAGATGGAGCTCTGACTATTCATCGCATCAAACGCGGTTCGAATGACAAGTAGACGGCTCAAACAAGTACATTCACTTACGATGGAGCTTCAACAAATCATGAGGTATGCTTTATAGTTAGCCTTTAACTAATTTTCTTGTTTAGGGGTGATTCCAAGACTTTCATGCAAAAGGAAATCTGAGAGCAACCCGACTCTGTGGTTAACACTATGCGTGGACGGGTGCTTCCATCCGGGCAAGTCGTGCTGGGGGGAATCAAGGATTATGTCAATGACACTCGCCGGTGCCGCCGTATTATCATGGTATTATCCTCATTATTTATGTTTTCAGGTTGCTTGTGGAACTTCGTACAACTCGGCGATTGCTTGCAGACAAATCATGACGTTAACGGAACTGCCCGTTGTTCTTGAACTTGCCTCAGATTTTCTTGACAGAGTATTGCTTAGCTTTCCTACTTTCCTACTACTAATTTTATTTTATTGTTTAGCAAGCTCCAATCTTCCGTGATGACGTTTGCTTCTTTATCTTTCAATCTAGTGAAACAGCGGACACTTTGATGGCGCTTCGGTAGGTTAAATCTTTGATAAAACTAGTTATTGCAAGCCCCGAGGAGCGTTGCTTATTGGAGTCACTAACACTGTTGGATCGTCAATTTGTCGTGAATCCCATTGTGGTGAGTCAATTTACAGAACTACATGTTTACAATGCACTTTTTCAGGAACTCACATCAATGCTGGACCAGAGATTGGAGTTGCTTCCACAAAAGCCTACAGCTCGCAAATCCTGTCATAGATCAGGTTTGCTCTCGTCTTATCTGAAGATCGCATTTCAATAGTGGATCGTCGAAGAGAAATTATTGATGCGCTCAACAAGTTGCAAAAAATTCCAGGTACTCATTTCGATGTTATTAATATCATTTAAATCTACTTCAGATTCCAAAACGACTATTGGATTTGAATGAAAGAGTATGTGGCAATGTTCTCTATAAATTTCGCCCTATAATCCACCAATCTAAATTTGCATATTTGACGGGAAAATGTCTGAAAATGCGAAATTTGAATTTCAGCAGCAGCGAATTTGCGTTTAACGGCCAAATAAAAGTAAAGCGTGAGCTTCAAAAATTATCATTCCTCATCGATTCCATCAACCCATCGCCCGATGCCTACAAAAAGTTAGTTTCATTTGCCTTTCTTCTGTTATTTATTTTTTGATTAGGGTTTTCTTTGCATCCCACATGCGTGGGATTTTTGTCTATTAATTAACTTTATTCGATCTTTTCTTACATCATGAAAATTTGCTTTTACTTTTGCACTTGTTCCGCGTTATTATTTTTCTTTTAGAGGTCGCTCCTTTGAAGCGTATCACTGGTGAGGATGGCCCGATCCCTTCTTGTACCTGTTCGTGCAGTCGACCAAAGAATCGCAAAGATGCACCAAAGGTAAATATTTATTTCTATCTTGTATTGTTCAGTATAATCTTTCTTATACTTTACATCTTGTACTTTAGAAAACTTTGCGGTGTGATGTCTACACAATGAAGAAGTTGAAGGAAAAGAAAGCCCCGTCGGGGCTAGCCAGTGTAAGTTTTTGCTGATGTTGTTATTTTGATGAAGGGTTTATATTTATTGCGTTTTCTTTAGCAATCATCCAACTCTGACTCCGAGCCCAAGAAGAAGATGGTCACTAAGGATGTTCGCAAGGTGCACAAGAAGGCCGCAGAAAAGGGAAAGGAAAAGGTTGAGACTTTGAATTTAATACTCCTGGTTTTTAATTTTGGATTACTAATATTTTTGTTTAGAAGATGTCATCCTCCTCAAAGAAGAAGGAAAGCAACAACTCGAAGAGCTCCGTCAAAGAGAAAGGAAAGAAGAAAACTGTGAAACGAGCCTGTGCCAAGGTAAAATTTCAGAGTTTATTAATGGAATTACTATTTTTTCATTTATAGACTCCAGTTTCTGTCCCGGGAGCTTCAAACAAGCGGCAACGCAAGGTGAGCTATTCTGTTTGCCATATCTCATTAATCCATTTGACTTTGCATGTTTTTTCTTTTTGAGAGCTTTTTTATTTAGGACAACTCTCTTCAGCCTGCCATTCATCATGAAGATGTAGCCCTTATGGATATGGATGCAGAAACACTGGTACAGGTAAGCAGGGGATTTTATTCATGCTTTTAATTATGTTACTTTAGATTGGTCGTGATTACGGAATTGAGCAGTATAGCTCCGGTCGGCTGTCTATTGACTCTGATGATTTTTCGGTCGATGGCGTGGTCACTGGATACAACAAGCACTTGATGGTTCCACTAGTCGTTCAAAAAGCCAAGAAGAAGGATCTGGTAGACCCTTACATTTGGTCCCTGTGTGACACCGGAGCTCCCGTCACCTACCTGTGTAAAGCCGCATTCAGAAAACTTCTCAAGGGAGATGTTACAAAGGACCGCTATGATGTTGTAATCCAGGTTTGTTCGTTTTTCCTGAAAACTGAATAATTTTCAAATGTTTAGATTCCGAACAACCTGATTACTGCGCCTCTTTCACCCGAAATGAAGTTCAAGGGAATCAATATTTTGGGGATGGGTGTGATGGCGCAATTGAATGATCTCGATTATTATCGACTGCAAGGAGAAAAAGTTCAAGCTGATCCGCAACTAAATCGTCTATTGTGTGAATTAACAAAAGTTTAAAGAAAATCTCAATCTTGATTTATGAACTAGCTTCTTGCACAAAATATTGATTGTTAAGTATGCCGTAAATTATGCCTATGGTTCCGTTTACGATATTGCCTTGCCTTTCCCGAAGATTCCAGTCCCATTTGTGCGGTATTGAAACGAACCTTGTCAACAATTTCATTCATTTGTTTCATTTCTTGCCTTTACGGAGTTAACTTTTTTATTTACAAATAGTTGTATAATCAACTTGCAACAAGCAACAAAATGGCCAGAGCAAACGCTGTTGGAATCGATCTTGGAACGACCTACTCGTGTGTCGGAGTCTTCATGCACGGCAAAGTGGAAATCATTGCCAATGATCAAGGTTAACTTTGTATATTCTAATCAAAATGCTTTTAGAGTAAGCTTTAACTTCTTAATTTAATTGTAAACTCTGGTTGACTAGAAACGTTGTCGAAGATTTAATGATTTGCTTTAACTTACAACGTTTTAATTTTAGGAAACCGAACAACACCTTCGTATGTGGCCTTCACTGAGTCGGAGCGTCTGGTCGGCGATGCCGCTAAAAATCAAGTGGCAATGAAACCACACAACATTGTTTTTGGCTAGTTTCTATGTCTTGAGTACTGAATGTGTGAATTTAGATGCGAAACGTCTCATCGGTCGCAAGTTCGATGACCCAGTTGTTCAATCAGATATGAAGCACTGGCCCTTCAAAGTCGTCTCGGGCGAAGGCGGTAAGCCAAGGATTGAGGTCGAGTACAAGGGAGAAAACAAGACCTTCACTCCCGAAGAGGTCTCTTCGATGGTGCTCCTCAAGATGAAGGAAACCGCCGAAGCCTTCCTGGGACAGACGGTCACGGATGCCATCGTCACCGTCCCGGTTTACTTCAATGACTCTCAACGACGGGTAAAGATAAAGATAAGGTTTCTTTTGTGTATTTAGCAAACTTTTAGGCCACCAAGGATGCCGGCACCATTGCTGGATTGAACGTGCTCCGAATCATCAATGAGCCCATTGCTGCCGCCATCGCTTATGGATTGGACAAGAAGGCCGCTGGCGAGCGAAATGTTCTCATCTTCGATCTTGGAGGCGGTACCTTCGATGTGTCGATCTTTACCATTGAAGATGGAATCTTCGAAGTCAAGTCTACGGCTGGAGACACTCATCTTGGAGGAGAGGTATAATCGTTCTTTTTTTGGAATGATAAACATCTTCATTTTAGGACTTTGACAACCGAATGGTGGACCACTTCATCGGCGAGTTCACGCGGAAACACAAGAAGGACTTGTCATCAAACCCAACAGCCCTCCGTCGTCTCCGAACTGCCTGTGAGCGAGCAAAGAAAACCCTCTCTTCGTCGTCCCAAGCCTCGATCGAGATTGACTCGCTTTTCGACGGAATTGACTTCTACACCAACATCACTCGTGCCCGCTTTGAAGAGCTCTGCGCTGACCTTTTCCTTTCTACCATGGGTTCTGTTGAGAAGGTAATGTTTATTTCTGTTTTCTTGAAATTACTTTTTTATTTCGGGCTCTCCGTGATGCGAAGATGGACAAGTCATCTGTTCACGACATTGTCTTGGTTGGAGGATCGTCTCGTATTCCAAGGGTTCAGGAGCTGCTCTCCGACTTCTTCTCTGGCAAGGAACTCAAGAAATCGGTCAATCCCGATGAGGCTGTTGCTTATGGGGCTGCTGTTCAGGTAAGGAGAAGCTGATTGCCCTGATTTGGGCACTTCTTAACATATATTAAAACATTTGGTTTAGGCTGCTATTTTGTCTAAAGTAGATGATTGGACTGTTGAAATTCCCCATAGTTTTGAGGACTTTAATGAAGACACACTGTTTGAGGTAAGAAGGGGATTTTATTCATGCTTTCAATTAAGTGATTTTAGATGGGTCGTGCTTACGGAATTGAGCACTTGAGCCCGGCTGTCTTTTCCCGCCGATGGTGATAATGGACGGAAGAAATATTCAAGTTGACTCTGCACTATATTTCTATTGTGTGAATTAATAAAAGGTTAAAGAGAATCTCAATCTTTCTTTATGAACTTGCTTATTGCACAAAAGTTGTTGAGGTTTTTGATGCGACTAATTGGTAACTTTTGTAACTTAGGCCAGGAGCTGCCCTAAGGACCTGACTCCTAGACTTTGACTGGCCCAGATTTGCTTGGGTCTGTTTATGATAATACTGCATAAGCCCAAGAATTTCAAGATTGTAACAAGATCGACAAATGTCGATTGGTTATAGATAGAACTAATAAACTTAATGTTGCATAAATAGGACTATCTATACTAAATAATACTGCATTTATTAGGTTGGTTACTAATTCTTTCACCCAAATTCCTAATTAAATAAGTCTCAAGCTACCAAATGAAATACGATTTTTTTTCATTAGGTAGGCCAATCATTTCTCTTGCAGATTACTTTTGAAAGTTTTTGAAAAGCTTTGTTGCGAAGGTTTTTCATTAGCGAGAAGCCAATTGCAAAAACGACAAAGTCCGATGATGTGATTTGAGCCTTTTCTTTCAATGAAACCTATTTTGATTACAAAATAAAAAAGATAGCTCGCAAAAAGTTAGGTCTACAAACAAAATTTCAGAATAATCCGTTTAGCGCTTTTCTTTATATGCTCATTTTTCAATATTTTGGAAAATACCAGTTTTCGTTCTCGCAGGTTATTCTAAAATACTAAAAATTGTTTAAAGATGACAAAAAGTGAGCGATAAACATTTCTAATGAAAGAAACCGTTTGGTATGTAGTAGTTTAAGACTCGTTCAGATAATGAAATGAAAGGTCCAAAACTTAGTACTCAACCTAATATTAAGATGAGACACTTGACCACCCGGCTACCCGTGCTTGTCGTCCCAAATCCATTCATTGTCCCTGGTGGCTTCTTTCCAGTTTACTTCTACTGGGACTCGTATTGGATCATAAAAGGTATTCAAATTTTATCTTAAGTTCTAATCTTAATGTTGATATCCCCTATCCGACGGAAAATTACGGAAATCTCGACGAATTTTTTGAATTTGAAAAACTGAAAACTGAATTTTGTGCGAAAAATTTTCGTATCGAGGGGGTTAGGGCGAGATATTTGAACATAATCTGTAAAGAATTTCGTTTCAAAGTCACGGGGTCGGCAAAATTCCGACCGGTTGAGTTGGATGAGTGGAAAAAGCTGCAAACCGTTGACGATTTCACGAATCTTAGAATCTTAGTAGAAAAATTCCAATTCATGGTTTAAGCGAAACTTTGTTGTACGCTTTATTGAAGAGCCACATTGAGATAGTTGAAAGTCTGTCGAATGACGGACTTCCAGAGTGTTTCCCGATGTGGATCGTGAGAAACGGATTGCCCAGTGAAAACGAGAATTGCTCGATTCTTATTTCCGTTCCATTTTTTCCGCAAATTGATTCGCAATTAGATCGTTTACTTCCAATCCTTTATTGAAACATGAGGAAGATGTGGAGATTTGCAGAAAAATCGAGCTGGAAATGAGAGAAAGAACGCATGAGAAAATTAGGAACCTGATTTCAGTACAGTGCTTTCGGAAGAGTGATTTCGTGGATGATTTGAGATTTTGCTTGGGATTCGAGAGGGAAGCGGAATTCGTGTATTTCTTTGTGAAACGATTGAAGTAAGGCTTGTGTTTTTTCTGATTTCTGATTCAGACCAGTTTTCGAAAACTACCATAATCTTGACTCTAGTTTTATCAAATCGATGTACTATTTAAATCTTTTGGTGTGTTGGAACGGGTCATCAATAAGCAGATCAAACATAAAAGTACAGATTAAGGTGTTATGGTCAAGCTTACGGTATTCAGAGTCAGGATTAGGGTCTTTCCCGGTTTTAATTTAAAATTTACCACAAAACTTTATAGTACTTTATGACCTGTTCGTTTATCGGTCTTATTGTCAATAGATCTGCAACAGAAAAACGAGATTTGATCACAGCAATGGCAACTTTCTCTGCACTTCTTCCTGCACGAAGGTTGAATTTTCGAAGCTCTATCTTTTGGTTTAAAAATCTTTGAAAAATTAGCCGTTGAAGTAGTCGAATCTCGTTTTTCCGTTGTACACCAAATTGACAATCAGACCGACAAATCAACAGCTCTAGTAGGCTATAGTTTCAAGAAACTTTGACAACGTTGAAAACAAGCATCACTTTACAGTTTAAGGTTTTGAACAGGATTTGTAAAAAAGTAATGCTTCTTGGTCAGCTTATAGCTTATAATTTTCTTGTAACATTATTGTTTCTTAGGAATTCACGTAAATTGGTTTGAAGATCGTGCCAGAATTCAGATTTATCATTACTTTCAAAAATTTACCCTTTAAAAAAGTGTTAGAGTTTAAGTTGAACGGATACAGCAAATATTAACTGTTAGACTTGAGATTCTTCAAACAAACTGAGCAGCCATCCTTTTAGAAAGTAATCAGAAATCGATACAGTGCTGGCTCAAGGGCCATCGAGATCGTACTTGTCTGAATCTCGCCTGATTTGGTTGGATCAAGTGTAAAGTAGTTAAAGATAGTGCCTGAATTCCTCTTTATTATTTGTTCATTTAACAAGTTCGAGTTTAAATTGAAATTGAAATTTTCCTAGATAGTCATTGAATTTGTGTTTGAATAGAATTAATTTATTCTTCGATCTCTACAATTTCCCTCTTCTTTCAATAAGTTTACTATGTGTCATTTTGTAAATTAAACATTTTCCGTTGTCACTTTTTCATGCTTACATAAATAAAGTAATGATATACAGCTCAAAAAGATATCACATTTGATTATTGTAGCAAAGCAAACACATTTTGTCCAATTTTGAGGCCAGATTTGGATTTATCATAGTCGAATTAAGCGGTGAAACTCATTCTATCGTTTTCCCGAAAGTTTAACGCTGTTTTCTCTTAAAACGACTATTCGTAAGTGCTATTCGATGCGAAAAAATGCCCTGAATACGAATTTAAATGAATTTTCAGCAACAGTTTGACAGATTTTTCTTTAAATCGAAAAATCTCGAAAAAATCGCTTTTTTCAATATAAACAACAAAATTGCCTCCCTTTTACAGGCTGGTTCTTGGCGAAAAAAAATTTGGTGAGCGTCCCATACCAAATTTTGATGCTCCAGTGTCTTCTGCACATTTTGATACCAAAAATAGATTAATTGTGTGAATCTTTGAAAAGTTGATGCCTTTTGAACGCAAAAATAGAGTTGTTCAACTTTCTGCGCGCTAAAGCGTGGGTAAACTACCGTAGCCTTTACAAAAAAACGCAAAACTATGAAACGAATGTATCTTTATTAATTTCTTCACTTTTTATCAAAATTTGGGCTCCTTTTCTTATTATTTACATAATTTTGATTGCAACTAATGATTTGTGTTTTACAGATAAAAGAACGATAACTGGCACGTCAAAGAACAACTCAAATTCACAATGAGGATTTTATTGTTATCTTTTCATGATTTAAGGGTGCAAATTCAGATATGTTTAGCTAAACATATAATTGCCAATATCATTTGATAAAAAAACAAAAAGAATCTTGCTGCGAGTGGGGTTCGAACCCAACATCGTGTCTGAATAAGCTCGGTTTTAGCATATCATACAAAAGGCGCACGAGTCTAGTAATAGTCTAGTAATTTTAAAATACAAGCATTTCATATATTAGGTTGGCAAAAAAGAAATGAGCGTCGTGTTTGTTGATTTGTATTTTATTCACAGTAAAAGATTTTTTAAAATAGTTTATTCTATTGGAAAGAGCGTGTTCTTGCGCATCGTTTGATATATAATTTGTCTATGATTACTTTGTTTTTTTGCAAGAAAGAGTGTTTAGAAAATGTCGGACCAAAAATTTCGTTTGCGGGCCTGCTTGTGGTATGAATTTAAGCAAGGCAAATCGGCTGCTGAAGCTTATGGCGCTCTATCGCAAGTGTTTGACGAAGATGCTCTATCCGAAAGTCAGTGTAAACGATGGTTTCTGCGCTTCCGAGACGGCGACGAAAGCTTGGAAGACCAAAAACACGGGAGTCGACCTCAAATCATCGACAACGACGCATTGAAGGAAGCCATTGAGTCGGATCCACGCCAAACCACTCGCGACCTGGCAGTTCGGCTGCACTCATGTCATCATTGAGAACCATCTGCATGGCATGGGCAAGACGAATAGATGCGGAAAATGGGTACCGCATAAGCTATCCGACGCAAACAAGGCGACACGCATCGCAATCGCCGGAATTCTCACTCACCGCGCCAAGAACAGTGGGTTTTTCGACTCCATTGTTATGTCGGATGAGAAGTGGATCCAATACGGCAACACAGCAAGAAAGCGGCAGTGGTTGGACCCCGGTGAAGCTCCAAAACCGGACATCCACGGAAAAAAGGTGATGCTTTGTGTTTGGTGGAACAGTAAAGGCCGGGTGTACTTTGAGGTTCTGGATTCGGGTCAAACAGTTACGGCGAACCTCTACCAAGGCCAATTGGACCGCGTGGACCAGGCGCTGCGACGTCAAGGTGTGGATACGGCGTCGACAAAATTCCTCCACGACAACGCTCGGCCGCTTGTCGCAAAAGTCACCCAGCAGAAAATTGAAGAAATGAGCTGGGAAGTCCTGCCTTATCCGCCATACAGCCCAGACTTGGCACCTTCTGACTACCATCTGTTCCGATCAATGCACCACTCCTTGGCCGAGAAAAAGTTCAAGAACCGCGACGAGGTCCAAATTTGGGTGTCCAACTTCTTCGAGTCGCAGCCGGTCGAGTTATTCAAGAAGGGCATCCATTCTCTGCGTGAACGTTTCATTCATGCAGATGGCGAATACCTTTTGGATTAATGTATTGTTATCTTGTTTTTATAATAAAATAAACTTTTAACGAAAACGCGCATTTCTTTTTTGCCAACCTAATATATAGCAGAGTGTAACAAAAAATTTTGTTACACTCTGCTATATATATGACACGCTTGTGTTTTAAAAAAGAATTATGGTGGAAATGATTATGATGCAAGCATTCTGGAGCTTTTTAATGTCCCATCGCAATTAGTTTTGATAGGCATGAAATTGAAACCAAATTGGCATGAAAATAAATGCAAATTTTAAAGCTAGTTTCGTTTTACAACCCTAGTAACTTTTTTACAAGGGTTGTAACCAGTTTTACTGGGCCGGTTTTCGCTATTTACTACCCCAGGAAACAACTTTTTAAAAAGCGTCCCGAAAGTGAAAAAATCATTCTGGTCAGTTATATTACCGCCTTCAAAACGAAGCAACTCCATGCTGTGATGGCCGAGTGGTCTAAGGCGTTGGACTTAAGTTCCAATGGACGCAAGTCCGCGTGGGTTCGAACCCCACTCGCAGCAAGATTCTTTTTCTTTTTTCAAATGATATTTGCAATCATAAGTTTAGCCAAATATATCTTACTCTACGCTCTTAAATCATGAATACTGTAAAAAACATAACTTAATAAAATCCTCATTGTGAATTTGAGTTGTTCTTTGACGCACTTATCTCTCTTCAACCTGTAAAACACAAATCATTAGTTGCAATCAAAATTATGTAAATAACAAGAAATCGGGCCAAAATTTTGATAAAAAGTGAAGAAATTCATAAAATTCACTTGTTTCATAGTTTTGCGTTTTTTTGTAAAGGCTACGGTAGTTTACCCACGCTTTAGCGCGCAGAAAGTTGAACAACGCTACTTTTGCGTTCAAACGGCATCAACTTTTCAAAAATTCACACAATTAATCTATTTTTGGTATCAAAATGTGCAGAAGACACTGGAGCATCAAAATTTGGTATGGGACGCTCACCAAATTTTTTTTCGCCAAGAACCAGCCTGTAAAAGGGAGGCAATTTTGTTGTTTATATTGAAAAATGGCGATTTTTTCGAGATTTTTCGATTTAAAGAAAAATCTGTCAAACTGTTGCTGAAAATTCTTTTAAATTCGGATTCAGGGCATTTTTTCGCATCGAATAGCACTTACGAATAGGAGAAAACAGAGAAGAGAGGTTCGTTTTAAGAGAAAACAGCGTCAAACTTTCGGGAAAACGACAGAATGAGTTTCACCGCTTAACTCGACTATGATAAATCCGAATCTGGCCTCAAAATTGAACAAAATGTGTTTGCTTTGCTACAATAATCAAATGTGGTATCTTTTTGAGCTGTATATCATTACTTTATTTATGTAAGCATGAAAAAGTGACAACGGAATATGTTTAATTTACAAAATGACACATAGTAAACTTATTGAAAGAAGAGGGAAATTGTAGAGATCGAAGAATAAATTAATTCTATTCAAACACAAATTCAATGACTATCTAGGAAAATTTCAATTTCAATTTAAACTCGAACTTGTTAAATGAACAAATAATAAATACGAATTCAAGCACTATCTTTAACTACTTTACACTTGATCCAACCAAATCAAGCGAGATTCAGACAATTACGATCTCGATGGCCCTTCACTCAGCATTGTATCGACTCCTGCTTACTTTCTAAAAGGATGGCTGCTCAGTTTGTTTGAAGAATCTCAAGTCTAACAGTTAATATTTGCTGTATCCGTTCAACTTAAACTCTAACACTTTTTTAAAGGGTAAATTTTTGAAAGTAATGATAAATCTGAATTCTGGCACGATCTTCAAACCAATTTACGTGAATTCCTAAGAAACAATAATGTTACAAGAAAATTATAAGCTATAAGCTGACCAAGAAGCATTACTTTTTTACAAATCCTGTTCAAAACCTTAAACTGTAAAGTGATGCTTGTTTTCAACGTTGTCAAAGTTTCTTGAAACTATAGCCTACTAGAGCTGTTGATTTGTCGGTCTGATTGTCAATTTGGTGTACAACGGAAAAACGAGATTCGACTACTTCAACGGCTAATTTTTCAAAGATTTTTAAACCAAAAGATAGAGCTTCGAAAATTCAACCTTCGTGCAGGAAGAAGTGCAGAGAAAGTTGCCATTGCTGTGATCAAATCTCGTTTTTCTGTTGCAGATCTATTGACAATAAGACCGATAAATCAAGGTCATAAAGTACTATAAAGTTTTGTGGTAAATTTTAAATTATTAGGTTGATGCATAAGTCTTTTTGTTCCTTTTCGTCTGCCGTTTCAAGCCAACAAATGCACCAATTAAACTACGGTTGATTTCATTAGAAAAACCAATTATTTTTCTGCAAAATAACATTAAAACGGGTTTAAAAATATTTTATGCCTGGATTTTCTTGAGAGTATGAAGTCGGGGAGTCAAAAAGGGCTAACTCGATGATGCGGTTTAGACACCTTAGCTAAATAAAACCTATCTTCGTGTCAATAGATAAAAGATAGAGAAAAAAAGGTTTGTATTTCGCCAAAATTTCAGAGAAATTCATTCAGCCAATTTTTCCGTAGAGTTTTTTATAGATTTTTACGAAAAAGGCGTTTTTCACTCTCGAATTTGCTTGAAAGTGAACCGAAATTCATTTAAAAAGATGCAAATTGAACAAAAAAACACTTTTTTTATAGAGCAAAGTATAGATTAATTGGTGAATTTGTTACTTTTTAACAGAAGTACGAAAAGAACGAAAAGACTTATGCATCAACCTATTAAAACCGGGAAAGATCCTAATCCTGACTCTGAATACCGTAAGCTTGACCATAACACCTTAATCTGTACTTTTATGTTTGATCTGCTTATTGATGACCCGTTCCAACACACCAAAAGATTTAAATACTACATCGATTTGATAAAACTAGAGTCAAGATTATGGTAGTTTTCGAAAATTGGTCTGAATCAGAAATCAGAAAAAACACAAGCCTTACTTCAATCGTTTCACAAAGAAATACACGAATACCGCTTCCCTCTCGAATCCCATGCAAAATCTCAAATCATCCACGAAATCACTCTTCCGAAAGCACTGTACTGAAATCAGGTTCCTAATTTTCTCATGCGTTTTTTCTCTCATTTCCAGCTCCATTTTTCTGCAAATCTCCATATCTTCCTCATTTTTCGATAAAGGATCGGAAGTAAACGATCTAATTGCGACATCAATTTACGGAAAAAATGCAACAGAAATGAGAATGGAGCAATTCTCAGGTTCGTAATTTCACTGGGCAATCCGTTTCTCACGATCCACATCGGGAAACACTCTGGAAGTCCGCCATTCGACACACTTGCAACCATCTCAACTCGAGTCTTCAATAAAGCGTTCAACAAATTTTCGCCTAAAACCATCGATTGAAATTTTTCTACAAAATCTCAGTATTTCAATAAAATTCGTGAAATTTTCAGCGGTTTGCAGCTCTTCCCACTCATCCAACTCAACCGGTTGGAAATTTGCCGATCCAGTGACTTTGAAACGAAATCCTTCACAGATTATGTTCAAATATCTCGCCCTAACCCCCTCGCTATGAAAATTTTGCACAAAATTCAGTTTTCTCCGTTTTCAGTTTTTCAAATTCACAAAATTCGTCGAGATTTCCGTAATTTTCCGTCGAATAGGGGATATTAACATTAAGATTAGAACTTAAGATAAAATTTGCATACCTTTTATGATCCAATACGAGTCTCAGTAGAAGTATACCTGAAAGAAGTCACCAGGGACAATGAATGGATTTGAGACCACAAGCACGGGTAGCCGAGTGATCAAGTGTCTCATCCAAATATTAGGTTGAGTACTCAGTTTTGAACCTTTCATTTCATTATCCAAATGAATGAGTCTTAAAATACCAAAGTCCAAACGGTTTCTTTCATTAGAAATGTTTATCGCTCACTTTTTGTCATCTTTAAACAATTTTTAGTATTTTAGAATAACCTGCAAGAACGAAAACTGGTATTTTCCAAAATATTGAAAAATGAGCATATAAAGAAAAGCGCTAAACGGATTATTCTGAAATTTTGTTTGTAGACCTAACTTTTTGCGCGCTATCTTTTTTATTTTGTAATCAAAATAGGTTTCATTGAAAGAAAAGGCTCAAATCACATCATCGGACTTTGTCATTTTTGCAATCGGCTTTTTGCTAATGAAAAACCTTCAAAACAAAGCTTTTCAAAAACTTTCAAAAGTAATCTGCAACAGAAATGATTGGCCTATCTAATGAAAAAAAACCGTATTTCATTTGGTAGCTTGAGACTTATTTCATAAGGAATTGGGTGAAAGACTTAGTACCCAACCTAATAAATGGAGTATTATTTAGTCTAGATAGCCCTATTTATGCAACATGAAGTTGATTATAGATAGATCTATCCATAATAAATCGACAAATCTCAATCTTGTTACAATCTTGGGATTGCGCAGTATTATCTTAAACAGACCCAAGCAAATCTGGGTCAGTCAAAGTCTAGGAGTCAGGTCCTTAGGGTAGGTCCTGGCCTAAGATACAAAAGTTGAATCAATTAGTCGCATCAACCTCAACAACTTTTGTGCAATAAGTAAGTTCATAAAAAAAGATTGAGATTTTCTTTAATTTTTATGAATTCATACAATAGAAATATACTGCAGAGTCAACTTGAATATTTCTTTGGTCCATTATCACCATCGGCGGGAAAAGTACAAGATTCACCCCACAGGCTATACTGCTCAATTCCGTAAGCACGACCCATCTAAAATCACTTAATTGAAAGCATGAATAAAATCCCCTTCTTACCTCAAACAGTGTCTTTTCATTCATGCCGTCAAAACCCAAAAGAGTCCAATCCTTTGGTTTAGACCAAATATCAGCCTAAACCAAATGTTTTAATATCTGTTAAGAAGTGCCCAAATAAGGGCAATCAGCTTCTCCTTACCATAACAGCAGCTCCATAAGCAACAGCCTCATCGGGATTGACCGATTTCTTGAGTTCCTTGCCAGCGAAGAACTCGGAGAGCAGCTCCTGAACCCTTGGAATACGCGACGATCCTCCAACCAAGACAATGTCGTGAACAGATGACTTGTCCATCTTCGCATCACGGAGAGCCCGAAATAAAAAAAGTAATTTCAAGAAAGCAGAAATAAACATTACCTTCTCAACAGAACCCATGGTAGAAAGGAAAAGGTCAGCGCAGAGCTCTTCAAAGTGGGCACGAGTGATATTGGTGCAGAAGTCAATTCCCTCGAAAAGCGAGTCAATCTCGATCGAAGCTTGGGACGACGAAGAGAGGATTTTCTTTGCTCGCTCACACGCAGTTCGGAGACGACGGAGGGCTGTTGGGTTTGATGACAAGTCCTTCTTGTGTTTCCGCGTGAACTCGCCGATGAAGTGATCCACCATTCGGTTGTCAAAGTCCTAAAATAAAAATGTTTACCATATACAACAAGAACTTCTGCACCTGCCCTCCAAGATGAGCGTCTCCAGCAGTAGACTTCAATTCAAAGATTCCGTCTTCAATGGTAAGGATCGACACATCAAAGGTACCGCCTCCAAGATCAAAAATAAGAACATTTCGCTCGTCAGCGGCCTTCTCGTTCCATCCATAAGCGATAGCGGCAGCACTGGGCTCACTGATGATATGGAGCACGTTCAGTCCAGCTATGGCAGCGGCATTCCTGGTGGCCTAAAAGTTTGATAAATAACCAGAGAAACATTATCTTTACCTGTCGTTGAGAGTCATTGAAGTAAACCGGGACGGTGACGATGGCATCCGTGACCGTCTGTCCCAGGAAGGCTTCGGCGGTTTCCTTCATCTTGAGGAGCACCATCGAAGAGACCTCTTCGGGAGTGAAGGTCTTGTTTTCTCCCTTGTGCTCGACCTCAATCCTTGGCTTACCGCCTTCGCCCGAGACGACTTTGAAGGGCCAGTGCTTCATATCTGATTGAACAACTGGGTCATCGAACTTGCGACCGATGAGACGTTTCGCATCTAAATTCACACATTCAGTACTCAAGACATAGAAACTAGCCAAAAACAATGTTATGTGGGTTCATTGCCACTTGATTTTTAGCGGCATCGCCGACCAGACGCTCCGACTCAGTGAAGGCCACATACGAAGGTGTTGTTCGGTTTCCTAAAATTAAAACGTTGTAAGTTAAAGCAAATCATTAAATCTTCGACAACGTTTCTAGTCAACCAGAGTTTACAATTAAATTAAGAAGTTAAAGCTTACTCTAAAAGCATTTTGATTAGAATATACAAAGTTAACCTTGATCATTGGCAATGATTTCCACTTTGCCGTGCATGGAGACTCCGACGCACGAGTAGGTCGTTCCAAGATCGATTCCAACAGCGCTTGATGGCATCACACCTTCATCAGGCTCAAATCCCAACGAGATAATGTCAATAGTCCTTACCTCTTCTTTAGACAAAATATCAGCCTAAACCAAATGTTTTAATATATGTTAAGAAGTGCCCAAATCAGGGCAATCAGCTCCTCCTTACCATAACAGTAGCTCCATAAGCAACAGCCTCATCGGGATTGATCGATTTCTTGAGTTCCTTACCAGAGAAGAAGTCGGAGAGCAGCTCCTGAACCCTTGGAATACGAGACGATCCTCCAACCAAGACAATGTCGTGAACAGATGACTTGTCCATATTCGCATCACGGAGGGCCCGAAATAAAAAAAGTAATTTCAAGAAAACAGAAATAAACATTACCTTCTCAACAGAACCCATGGTTGAAAGGAAAAGGTCAGCGCAGAGCTCTTCAAAGCGGGCACGAGTGATGTTGGTGTAGAAGTCAATTCCCTCGAAAAGCGAGTCAATCTCGATGGAAGCTTGGGACGACGAAGAGAGGGTTTTCTTTGCTCGCTCACACGCAGTTCGGAGACGACGGAGGGCTGTTGGGTTTGATGACAAGTCCTTCTTGTGTTTCCGCTTGAACTCGGCGATGAAGTGATCCACCATTCGGTTGTCAAAGTCCTAAAATGAAGATGTTTATCATTTCCAAAAAGAACTATTATACCTCTCCTCCAAGATGAGTGTCTCCAGCCGTAGACTTGACTACGATGATTCCGTCTTCAATTGTAAGAATCGACACATCGAAGGTACCGCCTCCAAGATCAAAGATGAGAACATTTCGCTCGCCAGGGGCCTCCTTGTGCAATCCATAAGCGATGGCGGCAGCCGGGGGCTCATTGATGATTCGGAGCACGTTCAATCCAGCAATGGCGCCGGCATCCTCGGTGGCCTAAAAGTTTGATAAATACACAAAAGAAACCTTATCTTTCTCTTTACCTGTCGTTGAGAGTCATTGAAGTAAGTTGGGACGGTGACGACGGCATCCTTGACCGTCTGTCCCAGGAAGGCTTCGGCGGTTTCCTTCATCTTGAGGAGCACCATCGAAGAGACCTCTTCGGGAGTGAAGGTCTTGTTTTCTCCCTTGTGCTCGACCTCAATCCTTGGCTTACCGCCTTCGCCCGAGACGACTTTGAAGGGCCAGTGCTTCATATCTGATTGAACAACTGGGTCATCGAACTTGCGACCGATGAGACGTTTCGCATCTAAATTCACACATTCAGTACTCAAGACATAGAAACTAGCCAAAAACAATGTTATGTGGGTTCATTGCCACTTGATTTTTAGCGGCATCGCCGACCAGACGCTCCGACTCAGTGAAGGCCACATACGAAGGTGTCGTTCGGTTTCCTAAAATTAAAACGTTGTAAGTTAAAGCAAATCATTAAATCTTCGACAACGTTTCTAGTCAACCAGAGTTTACAATTAAATTAAGAAGTTAAAGCTTACTCTAAAAGCATTTTGATTAGAATATACAAAGTTAACCTTGATCATTGGCAATGATTTCCACTTTGCCGTGCATGGAGACTCCGACGCACGAGTAGGTCGTTCCAAGATCGATTCCAATAGCGTTTGCTTTGGCCATTTTGTTGCTTGTTGCAATGTGATTATACAACTACCTGTAAATAAAAAAGTTAACTCCGTAAAGACAAGAAATGAAACAAATGAATGAAATTGTTGACAAGGTTCGTTTCAATACCGCACAAATGGACTGGAATCTTCGGGAAAGGCAAGGCAATTTCGTAAACGGAACCATAGACATAATTTACGGCCATGTTGACATGTGAAAATTTCAACCCGAACCTAATTGCGTCTTCATTTTCGCAGCCGTTTCTTTTGAATTTTTGTTTACAAATAGAAATTGGTATTCTCTGCTTGTAGACAAAATTTCAGAGCAATGGGACAAGAAAAGGTCGAGAAAAGGTTGAATTAGGTTTGGGTTCGAATTTTCCCCGGTCTAGTACAGAGTGGCTATATGTTCACAGAGCTTTTTTTGTACTTATTAAGCCTTTATCGTATTTTTCCAAAAACCACAACAATAACATGAAACTGTGCTATCTTATTTGTCTTTTTACTGCAACAGCAGTTTTTCAAAGCTCAAGCTTTATCGATTTTAGTCCCTCTATGGAAAACCTACATTTTTTGTTATTACATCAACAGTATTCCTTTAGGTTTTTAGAATTAAATGAAATATTATAAAGTTATAAACGAGCGTTTGCACTGTTTAACTCGTGAGGAAGCCATTTCCCGCATCAGATCGTCTTTCCAATGGCGTGGAGATGGAGTAGAATTTGAACATAGAAACTGTTGAGCAAGTTCACGCGTCGTTTGACATGGATCTGATTCGATTGCAGCCCTCAAAGTATCGTTGTCTACGGTTTGAGGTCGACGAGAGTGTTCATCATCCTCGAGACTTTCATCACCATTCGGAAAGCGTTGGAACCAGCGCCAAGAGGGCTTTACACTACAATTCTTCAGCCCAAAGTACATCAAATAGTCAAGAACTTGTAAATGATCTTTAGTTTTGTTTCAGTGTCGATTTCGGAAATATTCGTTTCGTGATTGATCCCGTTGGAGTACCAGTTCCTTTCCATATGCCTCAACTCTCTGATCACGGTTTCCCAGCAGATCCACCGCCCATTAACTGTTAATCCTAAGAATTTCCAAGGTTTTTTTATCACTTCATAAGCTGCTTCACAAACCTTTTAAAAAGTTAAACAAAAACTTTTATGCTTAGTGCACCGAATGCTCCAGTTTGACCTATTAACTTTAAAATTTCAATTTACGTTAACGTACACTTTATTCTTTATAATGTTGAAGAATTAGTTTATTCTAATTTTATTCTGATGTCTATTGTTAGATGATTGTGTAAATAAATACAGTCATGGACAAAAGTCTTTACCCCTACCGAGGTCAGCTTTTAAAACGCGAAATTTTTCAACTTTTTAACAAGTTTTAAAAATTGTTTTCAAAGTATTTTGTAGCATTTTTACTCTAGTTTTTATATCCCATAACCAAAAGAAACAACGATTTATTTTAGGCAACAAAGAACGACGTTAACAAAAAAAAAACCCTCAAAACAGGTGGACAAAAGTCTTTACCCCTTTTCAACTTTTTATTTTCTTGCTGTTGTTTCGTTATTTTTCACATAACAATGCTTTATTATTTTTTAATTCTAGTGATGCCTGGAGCCTATCTGACCACTCCCGACAAAGAAAAGATTGTGGAAGCAAGGAAACGAGGCGACAAAGTAAAGGATGTTGCGAGCGTATTCAAATGCAGCCCCGAAACGGTGAAAAAGCTTTGCAAGAAAGAAAAAACGACTGGAATTCTTCACCGAGCATTCAAAACAGGTCGTTCACCCGTCACAACACCAAGAGAAGACAAGGTTCTAATTTTGGCCCACAAAAAGGATCCAAATCTTAATGCTTCCGATGGAGTCAGATTAATCAAGCATCAATTTAACAAGGACATCAATCGAAAGACAGTAAGCAGACGTTTGATTCATGCAGGATTGATGACTAGAAGACCTGCCAAGAAGCCCCTGATGGTCGCCAAACACCGGAAGATTCGACTCGACTTTGCCGAGAAGTATCAAAGTTGGACAAGCAACGACTGGGCCAATGTCATCTTCACCGATGAATCGAAGATCAACTTTTTCAATCCCGACGGCAATCATTTGATCCGGAGACCTGTCGGACAACGATATAGCACCAAATACCTTCGTGCGACAGTCAAATTTGGTGGCGGATCAATCATGTTGTGGGGTAAGAAACTTTTATCTTTATGCCTATTGACTTTTTTTTTCAGGAGCGATGACTAGAAGTTCACCAGGTCCGCTCGTTCTTCTCAATTCAACTTTGGACGCTCAACGATACAAGGTGATTTTGGAGAAAGATCTTCTTCCATTTGCGACCACAAAAATTGGACAAGGATGGTTGCTGTACCAGGACAACGCTCCATGTCACAAGTCGCAACTGCTAATGGGACGAGTTGTTCGCCTTGCCAACGGTGGTAGAGCTCGTCTACCCGGATGGTTCCGATCGAATGGAGTTCAGCTCGTATCTGCTCCTCCCTACAGTCCGGATTTGAACGTTATCGAACATTTGTGGGCGTTTTTGAAGCAGAAATTAAAGGGAAAACGCTTCAATACCAAGATTGAGCTATGGTACTTCATTCGACACGTCTGGACAAAGATCGGTCCTCAAATTTTACAGGATTTGGTCGACTCGATGCCGAGAAGGATTCAAGCAATAATTTCATCAAAAGGAGGCCCTACCAAATATTAAAATACTCGGTTTTTTCTCACTTTTTGTTCGAGGGGTAAGACTTTTGTCCACCTGTTTTGAGGGTTTTTTTTTGTTAACGTCGTTCTTTGTTGCCTAAAATAAATCGTTGTTTCTTTTGGTTATGGGATATAAAAACTAGAGTAAAAATGCTACAAAATACTTTGAAAACAATTTTTAAAACTTGTTAAAAAGTTGAAAAATTTCGCGTTTTAAAAGCTGACCTCGGTAGGGGTAAAGACTTTTGTCCATGACTGTATGATTCTTAAACTTTTACTAATTGAAATTTTAATTGTATAACAAAATATCTTTATAAAACTTTATTGAAAATGCAATAATCGTACATACAAAGAGTTTCATAGAAAATCCAGGTTTGAAAAAATGACTTAAACTGAATAAAACACTTGACAACTTTTTCCGAACATCGACTAGGTTAAGGGCCTTTAAATCGTGACTCTACCGTAGCCCGTAACTAGTTAGCAAATGTTACAGTAACCCAAATAGTCGTAGAGATTACTGTAACATCAAATAACTTGGAAATAGGAAATATCTAAAAAGATTAAACGATGAAGATCTAGACTGAGTTACGATAGCTGGGGCATGATTTAGATTGACCGGATTCTGGTAGTTGGAAACGGTTTCAACCGGGTTACTGTATCTGATGCATGCTTTAAATTGACAAGGGAAGTAAGCAAGGTGGCCAAATGGAATTTGCTATATATCATTCGACGCAGAAGTTCACAATGATTCCGAATTGCTATACGTTTTGCGATGCGTTGCCCTATCAAAAGTTATACAAGATTAAAGTTTTACAAGGCAATTGGAACTAGGGTAGATAAAAAACTCGTGCGCCGGACTCGAACCCGTGACCTTTCGCTTGCCGGGCAACTGTGGTAACCATTACACCACAATGCACTTCATCTCCCTTACTCCAGAGGGACTTAACCAGGCATTTTGAAACTCAAGGTCAGATTATGATAAGCTAGTTTCCCAAAGGCGTTCGCAAAATCGCCAGTGGCCGAGTGGTAGTGGGTTGGAATCGGAAGCGAACATTCTCTGGTTCGACTCCCCTCCATCTTTCTTTTTTTTCTTTGACCAACTTTGTGTGTTCTCCGTTTCAAAATTAGCTTTATTCCATCTACGTTTCACAAGAAACTATTCAATTTTTACACTTAATCAACATAATTTTAACTTGAGTTCGAAAATGCCTTGTAAAAATAGCAAAAACGGAAAGCATATTCGGAATCAGTGTGAAATTCTACGTCGAATGGTATATAGCAAATTCCATTTGACCACCTTGCTCACTGAGCATGGCTTAAAGTGACTACCCGAGTCGGCGTCCGGAAAAGATTTTCAATGTTCGCATTTTCAAAAACAACACCGGTATTCAGACTCTCCGTTATGATTTAGAAAATTTCTATAAAATTAAAAAAAAATTAAACCAGTACATTCTTAAAGCTATGAGATCTAAAAATCGTAAAAATTTACTTAAAATTCTCCCGTGATAGATGTGGCAACCTAGTTGGCTTGGTTTGGGTAAAGGGTTAGAAAATATTCACTTAACAGTACTAAATCTTATTTTATACAGTAATCTACTATTCTTTTTTAATTATCCATGACTCGCGGCACCGATTTGCTCGAATGGATTTAAACAGTAGTCGAGACCGAACCGAGAGATGTTCCTGTGCTCACCACAACACGCGAATTTCCCGTGATTGCTAAAATAAGATTTGAAAGTATATATTTTCATAGTAGGATTAAAAGAAACTATATATTTTCATATAGATAACTCGCAAATTCTTGCCTAAAGTTGTTGTTTGCTTAAAGATCTTGGCTCTTGACTGGAATCGTGCTTTTGAAGTCCCATAACTTTGTCTACAGATTACATTATCGTTAAATTTTTATATAGTTTTAAAGAGGAGGCTCTAAGGATTCAAATGATATAAAATAGAGCTTGATTTGAACAAAAAATCCTGAGAAAATCGAGAGATCAAACGCACAGGTCAGCTCAGTTTTTTTGCCATAAATTTGGCTGTATTTTTGGTCGTTATAAGCGTTATCTGTTAAAGTTATAAGCGCTCGAAGCGGACCAATAGTGTACCAAAACGACAAACCGTTATTGTGCTTTCTAAAGCGTGCCAACTCTACTGTAATCCAGTCACTAATTTGTATTCAATCTCTAAAAACACTGGGAAAAGTAAAGACTACAGTAGTCTTTGAGAATTGGCTTGTTTTAGAAAAAAAACAGAGAGCGGAGAGAACTAGTGGAACTTTTGATTTAACTCTAGACTCACTCCAAATGTGCCGTTTGTGAATTGGGTAAATGTCCGGTGAACCAAGCGGCATAGCAAGGTGGATGAAATTCTAGGTTCATCATCGTGTCCACCGCCGAGAAAGTGGCCGCACAGCCGCCGATCACAGCCATCACTGGAATTTTGTTATCTTTGAGTTTTTTTATTGGTGTTACGGTGGCTTTTTTTAAAGTGTTATGATGAGTAAAACAAAGCCAACACTTATTGTTAGCCAAATTTGAATCAGAATTGGATAAATTTCAAGTAAATTTTTGAAAAACTTACAAAGTACAAGCAAATTGATGAGCAACTTCTTTTTGGGAGTGTATTCGAGAATGCTGAAATGGTATTTGTTTGGTTTTATTGTAGAAAGATTATAGATTTATTATAAAAAGCTAGAGATTTACTATTCGCTTAAAATCTAACTATCCAGTACACTTACTCAGAAAGTGAAACGGGCTCCTCATCTTTTGACGCCTCTTCTCCTTTGTACTTTTCTTTACCAGCACAGAGGCACAAATTGAAGACACATGGGAAAATTAAAGCCATCAGGGTTATCGTTGAGCCTAAAAGTAAATCAAAATAATCATTTCAAGTCTTGAACTACTCTTGAGCTAGTTCTAGTTCAAGACTTGTTCAAGACTAGTTCAAGCCTAGATTACTCTAGATCAAAAGGTGGAATGACTTCTTCAACCAGTTTCATTCTATTCACCTCCAACTAAATCCAAAAGTGGGCCAAAATTAGGAACAGATTCAGCGGCAAAGACGACACAAGCCATGACGAAAGTCCGAGCGGCTACTCGCTGCCAACAGAAATCTAAAATTTCTGGCTGGATTGAAAATGTTTCCCTAAATTCAGAGCTTCTAAGTGAAGCTAGGATAGAGCCAGGTTAAAGCATCAGCTTTTAAGCTATGCAGCCAAATTAGACTTAGGCCATGAGGCCAGGTCAAGCCAGGTTAAGGCAGGCCAAGCCCTAAAGTCAGACTGGCTGGTAGCTTTGATGGCTAGATCAAACATGGTCAGTTTAACTAACCATGAGGCACTTTCATGAGCTCTTCAAAGGACTGATTGATCGGATTGAACATGATCGTTAAAGCCAAGATGACATGCAAAGTTATCAAACAGTTGACGGCCATTTGCAGGTTTGCATTCTGAAAGAGATTCTGATCTTATATTTATATATTCTGATCTATGACAATGGTACCGTGATCTTTTGCTCAAAAAGAACTCACCTGCAATGACGGAATGATTGTGTCCATCAACGAGCCGCCATAGGTGAAATAACCAGTAAGTGAAACGGGCAAGTACATCACACAAATCACTGAATATTTTCATTTTTCACAATAGCTTTTGTCAACTCACAGACAAAAGCGAGAGTGCAAGCTTTTCCGAATTTATATGGTTCTCGCATATCGTGTTGAATGGTGGGGAAAGCTCCGTGACCACCGTAGGCAAAAACGACTGTTCCAAAGGACATGAAGGTTCTGGAATGAATTGATGGTGTTATTTTGAATCCCTTTACGGCTCATTGATAACAAAACGAAATGAAACAGCCGCAAGCTTTCTCCATTTAAAATTTTCATATTCATTTTGTGCATCCCCTTTTCGAGGGCGCATTTCAAAATCTATTCACACACACTTTTTGCAAGATCTTAGCCTAATGCCAACCTCAAACTTGGGTAATTAAACCGAAATGTTGAGAAACAAGTCATTAAACGAAGAATAAAAAACCTACGAAAGCTTATCTCCTTATCGAAATTAGCATTTGTTCTCAATTTGCATATAAGTTTTTTCTAAAATTTTCCAACTCACTTCTCCATCGAGAACTCAGGATAGCTGATATGGCGTGAGCAAGTCGGATAATCCTCAATCGATCCATAGATGATCAACGAGACAGCGATTGTCGTCGTCACCATAGCCAACATTACCGCCCACCTAAAAATCGGCTATAAATTTTTTTGTTTACGATTCAGGCTACAGAATGTAAATCGATTTTGTAAGTAAACTGCGAGTTCTATCTGAACGCTATCATGATTTCTAATAGAGTGAGCTCTTGTTGGGCAAACAAATGAATTGGTAAAAGGTTTTCATTTAAAAATTAATCAATTAACGAAGAATTAAGCAGAAAAAAACGCTTGGCAAAGGATCGATTAATAGATTTATAGGCAGATGACTGGATATTTTAAGAACTAATAAGCTTTAAGAGCTCTAGTGAGCTAATAATTTGCTATAAATAAATGCGCGAAGATTTATTTTCATTTATTAATTTTTATTCGTGGTTTGGTATTTGATTCAGCTAAGGCCAATGTCAAAAGCGTATCATCTCTTCTAGTTTATTACTAAAGGTTGTCCAAAAATTATGAAGCCAATTCTGTTCCAACGAGGAGATGAATATCTGAACATGTTGAAAACAGAAATTTTGCCTTGGAGTCAACAGCACTTCGGAAATAAACCCTGAGTTTTTCAGCAGGACGGAGCTCCATCGCATAAAGCTCGAGAAGCGCAAGATTGCATCGCAAAGAATTTTCCTGATTGGATCACAGCAAGCGCGCAAAATTCAGGAGAATGGCTATCCAACTCGCCGGATTTGAATGTTTTGGATTAAAGCATTTGGCCGATCTTGCAGTCTAAGGCTTGTTGCAAGCCTCACACATAAATTCTGTCTTTGAAGAAGAATTTGGAGAAAGCTTGGGACGACACTGGCATCAAAAAGGCTGTGGATGACTTTCCGAAACGATTACGAAAATTCAAGTTAAAGGAGGCGACTTTCAAGAATAATGTTGCATTTATCGAATTTGCATTTATCCAGTGAATAATCAGACATCATGCAATTCATTATTTTTAATCAAATTATGCAAATTTAACCAAGAGGACTCTAATTTCCATCATGTTTTCTCTTATAAACGTCATTCATTTTTTTATAAAAACCCCTCCCGAGCACCCTCGATCAGCTGACCGTGTGGCCTAACGGATAAGGCGTCGGACTTCGGATCCGAAGATTGCAGGTTCGAATCCTGTCACGGTCGAAATATTTTGCTTTTGGAAAAAATTCTTTGAAACTTTTGTCTTTAACATTTTCAAGAGTGAAAACATTTAACTCTGCGAATTTTTACGTCTAAAACTTACCAGAAATCTTTCGGACTCTTGAGCATTGTCACCGGCAAAACGCAAATCGATACATAGATGAGAATTTGGCAGAAACCGATCTGAAAAAGCATTGAGATGAAGAAATCGAATAGAAAAATAGAAATGAGATTAAAATTAAACTTGCTATCTTTTTTTTGATGTTTTACCTCAACTCCACCCCAAGCTATCAGAAAACTCTCGATATTTTTCGCAGCCAGCAGCAAGAAAACGCAAGCCGTCCCGAAACACGTCAAATCCAGACAAAATGAGACAAACTTTCTAAAGAAATTATGAAATCAAATCATTTTTAGATCAATTACCCAAATCCTGGTCCAAGTGACCGATTGCCCATCGCCGGATAGGGTTTCCGACAGTGTTCCCGGTATTCGGGCCATCGTTGTTGGAGAATTGCCCAATTGTCGGATAGCTGCATCCCGGTGTACATACAAGCTGCAGCTACGACGGCTACAATCAACAATCCGCTGAAGATTCCTGAAATGAACTTGAAATTTGAACTGAATTTGAAAAAGCAAAAGAGTCTCGACCGTGACAGGATTCGAACCTGCAATCTTCGGATCCGAAGTCCGACGCCTTATCCGTTAGGCCACACGGTCAGTTGGTTTGGGCGGTTCAGGAGAGGTTTTTTTCACAATGACAAGAGAAATATCGAGATTTAGCAAGGTATCTCACGAAGAGATTAATGGGGATGGGATAGAGATATCTTTTTTGTTTTGAAAAAGTTAGTGAGATCAATTGTGAGAGTTTGAGAAGGGAGAAAAAGGTAAGAATGGCAATTTTTGTATGTAATTGGCTATCCAACTACCGTAAATACTGTAATAATACCCCACCCCCATAATGACGGTGCGGAGTGTTGCGTGGTCTAGCTTTGAACGATTTTTTCTCGACACTGGTTTATGTTACAATGCGCGCTTAGGCATCAAAAAATAGCCCTGAATTTCAGCTATTTTTTGATACCAAAGACGCATTTTTTGAAAGTACGGACGCTTTGCAAAAAATAAAATACTAAAAAACATTTGCGACTACGCGACTGTACGAGGAGGGTGGGGTACTATTACAGTATTTATGGTAAGTAACTGGGTATCGCCTAGCTATTGGTAACTATTGGTCTTTGTGCCAAACAATTGAACCTTACCAGCGTTTGAGAGCGCTGACGGTAGAGCGATCAAGCCTCCGCCGGCCGTTTCGCCAACAATGAAGAGACAAGTCACAAACCAGCCCATTCCGTGTAGATTACGGTGCTTTTCGTTCATCTGAAGAAGGATTATTTAGAATTCTATCAGTACTTCTGCTAAAAACGTAAACTCCTGGTGTATTCCCCTTCTAATGTCCTCGATTCTGACATTTTTGTAGAAAATTTATCTAGAATCAAGAGCGCCAGAAAGAGTGCGTTTGGAGCACAAAATACACCATAAAAGACAACGTCTAAGTGATAGTAAGAGTTTGAAAACTAAATATTGAAATATTTGCCTTCTGCTGTACAGCAATAGAGTGAAAATTTGATGTCAAATGAAGATTTTGAGACTAAACCAAGTCATAAATAAGGTTTCAAGCAAAAACAATGAATCAAGACTATGATAATTGATGTTATTTCTTGTTCATAAGTTTTTGCGGTTCTTAAAGTTCTTAAAGGTTTCAAAAGTTCTATCATTGAGTGCTTTGTGCTAAAAAAATGGTAACACACAGCTTTTGGTGCACTTTAAAAACGTTAAGAAGAAGAAGCGAGTTTCTTCGCTTTTCTTTTCTTATTTTCTTATGAAAATGGAGAATGCTATGAGTTATTATAAGAAAATTTAGAATTGAATGCGCCAGAGGGGGTTTGTTTTTAGTTTCAAGTACAAAGTACACAGTTAGTGAATTGAAAAATGGAAAAGATCCACTTTCTGGCATACTGTATAAATAGAAAACAGATTCAAGCCGGTTTCGAGACCAAATCAATTAATAAATAGGCTTTAAAGCAAAAAAAACAACGAGTCAAGGCTACATTGATGTTTTTCTATTTAGAAGAATCAAAAATGATACTTAATTCAGACAAAATATGCTTAAGCAAGTCAAAAACTGAGAAAATGAGAGAAAATGAAAGAAAGTCCAAAGAAAAGCTAAAGAAAATGAGAGAAAAACTCACGAATCTCAAGCTTCCCGTTTCCATTGTGTTCGCTGAGGCGACGAGGTGATAGTTGGATGCCCTAAAAAGAGAAAGACAATCGAGGGTGGGAAAATTGAAAAAAGAAAAATTGAGAGTTTTTTGATGATCACTGGGGGGGGGGAGGGAAGTGACGGAAATAGATCAAAATTTGTGCTTGTTTTCCAGTGTTAGACTTGATCTCTTTTGGAAGAGTTTTTGGATGCATTAATTCAAATGATTTTTAAAGCTTTCAACCATTTCTACTGATTTTGAGACTTCTAAATTAGAACCCAACAAAATGCATTAAAGCTCGTACTTTGTGTTCTTGTTTTATGCAAACTTTGCGCTTTCTGGCACATTTCATTTCGTATTTTGTTTGGGTAAGCCGATTGAAGTAAATGCAGAAACAATAAATGCAGAATTCATTGTGCCAGAAAGTACACATGTACAAAGTACAAAGTACGAGCCTGCGTACAATTCTGCCATGTACAAAGTACAAGCCTGCCTACCTGCAAGGATTAAAGGCTTTTAGAAATCAAAAATTAGAATTTGTTTACAGTATTTGGAAAAAGTTCGAGTTATCTTTAGTTAGAAAATGCATTAATGCAAGAAAATGCACTTTCTTATCTAAAACTTGTCCAGGAAGTAAAGTCTATTTGGGTTAAATCTAATAATCTTTATTAGATTTAACCCAAATAGATTTTAATTTAACCCAAATAGATTTTAATTTAACCCAAATAGATTTTAATTTAACCCAAATAGATTTTAATTTAACCCAAATAGATTTTACTTCTAATAATCTTTATTATATTAACAGTTAATCAGTTAGATTTTTATTTTGGATACTTTTAAAGACTCACAACGGATCACCGAGCAGTTTCTTCTTCGTTTCCGACATTTTTCCTTCAAATCTTTGAGAAATTTGTAAACTTTTGTCAATCCTTGATATCAAATCTAAATTTATTGATCATTTATTGTCATTTCGAAATGAAAAAGTGCACAAAATTGACTTGATGACGCGATTTTCAGTGAATTACAATGGGAAAAACAAGGATTTCTTGATTTTGTTTTCTTTAGACAAATGAAACACGTGGTCGGATAATTGGGTGAACGCTGGGAAAAGTCGAGAACTTTATGGAGATGAAAAGTTAAGGTTTAGAATGGTTTTATGGAGGAACCTTTGGACCAAAGCTTGGCACAACATGTGAAATGAGGGTAATGAGGTGCTGCAAAAAGTCAAAATGAAACAGAAAGAATGAAATGTTCAAGCTATTCAATATATCAATATTCACATTCATTTGTGCATTCCCTTTCAGGAGTTCCAAGGTTTTCACAACAATTTTACAGGGTTTTGGGATTAACGCTAAGCTCAAACTTGGGTAATTAAACCGAAACAGAGATAGGGAAGTTTTTGTGTTTGATCCTGAGAGAATTTTGAATTTTTGACAAAAGAACAGCATGAAACTTCTACTTCTAATTTTCGCATTCGTTCCAAAGTTCTTAAAACAATTTTGCAAGGTCTTGGGACCAAGGCTAACTTTAAACTTGGGTAATTAAACCGAGGTCGAAGGTCTCTGTCGCCCTATGTGTAGGGACCTACTTGAAGAAGCTACTTAAAGAAGCCTACTTCAAGAAGCCTACTTCAAGAAAGCTTTGTTCATCAATGAAAGCTTTGTTTCTTTGTTCAAGTAAGAGTAGAGCTTGTTCTAGGTGTACTTTGTGCGCAAAAGACTAAACATTCGTGTGTCAGGTGCCATTTTTTTCAACGAGATGCATAAAAGGTACGCACAAGGCGTTGTCTTGCTGGCTATGGCTTTTGATAAATGAAGAGCGTACTAGAAAACGAATTTTTAGATTTTTGCACACAAAGTACACCTAGAAGATGCTCTACTCTTACTTGAACAAAGAAACAAAGCTTTCATTGATGAACAAAGCTTTCTTGAAGTAGGCTTCTTTGAAGTAGCTTTCTTGAAGTAGGCTTCTTGAAGTAGCTTTCTTCAAGTAGAGTTCTTGAAGTAGATTTCTTGACGTGGAGTTCTTCAAGCAGCCTTCTTCAAGTAGCCTTCTTCAAGTAGCCTTCTAAGTAAGCTTTCTAAGTTACTGCAAGAAAACCGCTTTAGCTTTAGTTAGATCTTTTGAAATTCTCTATTTATAATACTTTCACGAACGTTATTGAGAAGATCTCATCACTATTTGCTCTAGTTTTGAATAGATTAAAAAAATGTGTGAGTAGAACGGAGGCGGCGAGTTTTTAATGAACATTCTAAACTTGGCCTTCTTTGCAGATGGATAGAAAATGAGGTTTTAAAGATTTTGAGTTTATGATTTAAAGTATTGACTTGTAAAAATGATAGTTTAGAGAATAGATGAAAGTTGATGGATTGAATCTAAACTAGAGGCAAGATTGTAATCGAAAAAGTTGACACAATTCAAAAAAACTATGTACTAATTACAATACAATCGAATTTTAAAAGGAATTTTGAAAGGAATTTTGAATTTTTACTGATTCTCTAATGAAATTACGAAATTATTGTTGGATTTTTGAATGTTTGAGGAATCGGGAATGAGCGGGACTGAGAAAAATCACAAAAACGTCACAAAAACACAAGAACAATATGATTTCATTGAGATGTGCATTTGAAAAATGAAATGCTAGTAATGATTGAAGAATTTTGCTTAAAAATAGAATACCTATCAAGAAAATAGAAGATTTTCAGATAATATTTAGTTTTTTCTGTTTCTTGAAATAAAAATTGAAAACTCTGATAGAATCATCAAATCCGATTCTAAGCCGAATCTTGAAATATCGAGGAAAAATGACGTCGAGAATGATGTCATTTTGAAAAGAAATTTGATGAAAAACTTTTAAACATCTATTTGAATCAAGATTTATAAGAAGCAAACAGATTTTCGGGGGTGCACTACTATTTTTTCAACCTGGACCGCAATACTATTAGAGAGTGCACTACTATTAAAGAGTGCACCTCTATTAGAGAGAATACGGTATCCATTTTTTCCAGGTGCTTTCAATTTCGATGAAATCCCGCTGGCTTTCGATAGGGATTTCTTATCAGAAAATGGAGCTCACAACCGAATCAATTTTGCGATCATGAAAAAAATCCAAAGAGAAAGTACAAAATGTCGAGAATCTGACTATCATTTTAGTTTGTTAAAGGGAAAATTTGAAGTACGGCAATACAAGCAGCTTTTTAACACTAAATTGACTAATAAACAAGTCAAATGTCCATAAATAAGTCAAAGTTAATCCCAAAAAGAATTTGATTTGATTCAAAAATGAATTTAACTGATAAACAAGTCAATTCCAAAGCCAAGTGAATTCTAAAATGAATTTAACTGATGACCAAGCCAATTCCAAGTCAATTCTAAGGCCAATTTAATTCCAAAATGAATTTAACTGATAAACAAGTTAATTCCAAGTTAATTCCAAAGCCAAGTGGATTCCAAAAAAAGCAACTGACCATAAATACATAATAAATGAATTTCTACCGGAATAGGCTTATTTATTACGGTAACAAATATACAATGCTTTCTATATCAAGTCTAAAATTTAATATTTATGCAAAAGCTTGTAACTTCTTACTCGAAACAGTCCTTATATAGCTCTTGAGAAATTATTCAGCAAACTCGAACTCTTTCTCTCTTCTTTCTCTCTTCTTTTTGGGAAAAAGAGCACGAGAAAAAAAAAACATAAACAAATCACGACATAAATTTCTTTTCGTTTCTCTTTCTCTTTTATCTCAAAGTGATCATGAAATTGAATCAAACTTTGCGGATTTGAACCCAAAAAACTTTGGTTTTACGAGGAATTCATGACGTGTCAATCTTTGGCTTAGCAAAAACGATGGGAACTCAAAGAGAAACTGTTTACGGCCTCGCCACTTTGAAACATGGTATCCCGCAGATCTGTCAAGTTAAGTTAGGCTAATCGAGAGACTAATCGTTAGGCTCGATTAGTCTCTCGTTCGAATCCAGCAGATATCTCCGCTGAACTGAGTTCTGTAGGAAACCCATATGGTGAACTGGTTCCCAAGACCGATTCCCTTAGGCCCCCTCCCCTCGGGATTGGGATAGCCAAGGATCCAAATGGGTAGACTTGTCTAAGGCGCAAGCTCATATAGAGTGAGTAGCTTTCTCCTCCTACATCGTCTCCTACATCGTCTCCTACATCGTCTCCTATATCGTCTCCTACATCGTCTCCTACATCGTCTCCTACATCGTCTCCTACATCGTCTCATCCTCACAAACGATAGAATACTCTCTAGGTCTTTATGTGTAATTGTAATCTTTATGTGATTATGTGTATGCCAAATAAATCACCCGTAACCCCAATATACATTATTATTATTATTATTATTTTATTATTTTTATTCAGCAAATCCAAACTCTTTGGAAGATTTTTGAGAAAAAGAGTACAAGAAAGAAAAACATAAACAAATCACGACATAAATTTCTTTTCATTTCTCTTTCTCTTTTATCTCAAAGTGATCATGAAATTGAATCGAACTTTGCGGGATTTGAACTCAAAAAACGTTGGTTTGACGGGGAATTCTTGACTTTCTTGATAGTCAATCTTTAGCTTAGCAAAAAAACGATGAGAATTCAAAGAGAAACTGTTTCCTAAAAGGAATTCAAAGCGAAACTGTTTCCTGTATCTATTTTAGAAAACTATTGTAATCAAACCATCAATTTTCATTCGATCAACTTCATTTCTTCATCGAATGATACAAAAATTGAGCTGATCGAATGGAAACCAAGAGTTTGCCTATGATAGTTTTCTAAAATAAGTACCTTTTAGAAAACTAATGATAAAGAAAACTTTAAATAAGATAAACTTTTGATTAAAGCAATCATTTAGTCAATTTTCAGATTGAACTCTCTTTTCCTAAAGCCTTTCTCATTTGATCTTTTGAAAAGTGAGGAAAATGACTTTTACTTTTTCAAGTCTTAATGGGCATTTAATGGGAATTTGCAGAAAATCTATTTGATATCATGAAACTGCTTGAGGTGTTCAAAAAGGTTCAGAAATTTTTCGATCAACAGGAAAAAAAGAGAACAAAAGTTGATCAACATCGATCTCACGAAATGGCGAAATGGTCAATAAATCCAGAATTAGCTTATTTTTTAGGCTTTCATAGTTGTTTGTGGCCTGTAAACACATCTTTTCTGGCGCACTTGATACCTTAGCTATCAGTTTTTCATTTTTCTTCACAACTAATAACTGATTTCGAGAGAAAGGCAAGAATTGCATGCACCAGAAAGGATACGTTTTTCATTTTTAAGCACAATACTGGCGAATCTGTTGCACGCATATTACCTAATTAGCATTTGTTTTGAAAATTTACATTACATACATATGCAAATATGCATTTGAAATCTGCTAAAAGGTTTTAAATGGCTTTTAAATTGCGCCGTGGGCGTCGTGCTTTGTGCTGGCCGGTGATGCGCGGTCGGGAAGTGACTTGCGTCACACCGTGCTTTTTTTTATTGACCCACTGCAGGTGCTCTGGGAAACCACGTGATGTGCCATCTCTGGACCACATTCTTCCCCATCCTTGGACCACATTCTTTGCCATCCTTGGACCACATTCTTCCCCATCACTGGACCACATTCTTTGCCATCCTTGGACTACATTCTTCCCCATCCCTGGACCACATTCTTCCCCATCTCTGGACCACATTCTTTGCCATCCTTGGACTACATTCTTCCCCATCCCTGGACCACATTCTTCCCCATCTCTGGACCACATTCTTTGCCATCCTTGGACTACATTCTTCCCCATCCCTGGACCAAATTCGGGGTAAACGTAAGCTACGAAGGGTTAGAGGTATTTCCAAAGGTTTTTAGAACATTCATTTCAAACAGTTTATATGCAAAGT